TTTGAATTCATAAGTGATGTAAGTAAATTGGCATTTGCAACCAATGAAATGAGGTTCACCGAATATATAATGAAATGTGTGCATATTGAATTAGACTGTTGAAATTATAAAAGGAGATGTTTAAGGATAACTTCTTTTATGACCTCTTTTACATCTGTTGGATACCTTGTCTAGCCTTGCCAAAGAGTTTGTATGTATGGAATAAATAATAAATTGGTAACAAGATTTTGTCCTATGAAAATGCTTTAATAATAATTAATATTGGAACTACTGTACCCAATATAATAGCAGATTTTTTTTAAGAACTATTTCCAGAGTGGAAGATCTTTATTTTTGCTGTTACATTTTATCCACTTTCTATTCTCCAGTCTTCAAGGCCATCCAGTTCTTGTTTATATCTCAGGTATCCTCACTATTAATAATGGGGGATATTTTTGACATTTTTAAGTCCAACATACAGAATCAGTATATAAAAAATTCTTGTTCCAGCTCCTGAGCTACTAAAACAGTTGTCCAAGATGACCTTTGTAAAGCTTCTTTTCAGAGGAATTTGTGATGATAGAGATTAATTTACTCATAACAATGTCAGAAAGGATGCATCATATATCTGTGGGTAGGTGTGCATCCTTTTAAGCTTTAATCCAATAACTTCTGTTGTATCCTTTTGGTCAGATATAGGTATGCAGATGTTGTGGTTTCTTTACAAACCAATCCTATTTGAAACTCCACATGTGGAGTACTGTTTAAAGTATAAACTTTAATATTATTAAAGCATTACCTAAATCACAATTAATGTGTTTGGGGAATTAAGAGCCATTGATATCCTGTTCTGGTTTCTGTTATTGGAAAGTTTTGTGAAGTAGGGATGGTTTCTAATTGTATTTATTAATATTTGCTCTTCGTGCCGTATATCTTGACATATATTGTGCCAAACTGTCCTTGCTGGCAGATATACTCTTGAGTCTTATGCATATTTCTGACTATTGTTATTATCTATTTACTGTGGGTAAAGTGTTTCATACTGATCTAAGCAGTCTCTCTGTAAGTATGCTTTATCCTTCTGTCCACTATAGTTAAATCTTATTGTTCCTTGGACTTAGTGTGTGAGACATAAGGCTCATATAGACCCATATATGAAGTTTTGGTTTTGTTTTTTTTTTAATAAATATGAGAGCATCCAAATTACTTTTGTGAAATGTGTCAACTTTTTTAATAAACATTAATCCACTCTATTTTTCTTTATAAAATATATGTTTACCAATTTTCTGGTAGAGAAATCTTACAGACTTTACTAATAGCTACTGATTTTTTTTCATATAACTTCTATTCTATTTGTTCATATTCTGGATCAAGGGTAAAATGCATTCTTTACCAGAATATAAACCCACATAATTTCCTTCAACTTCTACTCCTCGGAGAGCATATATTAGATCTGACTTTGAATCATAAAATGCACACTGTCTTTTAAAAAATATTTTACTCTCATCTGACAGGGTTACCCCATACAGTTAAGAATGAGTGTTAAAACAACCACATTTCCAATGCAAATTTTGAAAGCAAAGCTAGGAGTGTAATGACAGTATCTGTGAGAAAATGCTGTAGGAAAATTATGTGAATTAAAGACTAAGATTATCCTCAGTGGCAAGCAGGATTGCTTCTCAGTGTTATGATAATAAAAAACTTACTTTGTGATGTATAAAATGAAAATCAAATGAAAACTTTTTATTTTGGGTGAATCGATAAACAAAATACTCTTTTCCAGTCACAACAATGAGTCTGAAGCTGCAGTGTGCTATCAAGTGATTTTGTTCTTTTGGCTTTTAACTTCAAATATCTGAATGTTAAACATTTATTAATATATGCATGGTCTTCATTTCCTTGGCTTTTAAATAGTAAAACAAATAATACAACACTCTGAATCCCTATGAGCGAGGACTGAAACAGGAAGCCAATCTTTTGTCAGGTATTTCACCAGTTCTTAACCTGTCTCATTACCATGTTACAGAAAAAGAAATATATAGAGGAACATCTCTTCAAAGCATTCATACAGAAAAGCAGTGTGTATGATCATACTTCCTTTGACCAGTCAATAAGTCTTCTTTATATTCCCTCAGGCAGGTCATGAACAGCTGAATATATATTTACCATCTAGTACCATACTTGCACTCTTCACTTCAGCCAATAGCACAGCTAATTCTAGCTACTAGTGAATTTTAAAAGTTAAAGGTAATGGAGGATTTTCTTGGAAAAACCATTCCACAGTTTAATAGATCTCATCATCAGGAATTCTGGCTTATAATTTATCCTTTTTTAATTTCATATTATTAATTATTGTGATATCTCTTATGTGTTCCATTTTGGCTTCCTCAGAATGTTAACTTCCTTCAAATAAGCAGACACTTCTACAAAACCTTTTTACAGACATTGTTCAGCTAAATTAAGTACAGTATATTAAAAGAAGTGTGAAGTTACTAGGTCAGTTCAGTGATTCTTTTCTCACATGTGGAAATAAATTGACAGGTTTGACTTAGATTGAATACTAGGAACCTAATAAGATGTAGTCCAGTAACAGCTAGGATTAACTTCTTACTTCGGAGCAAAACACTCCCTTTCTCTGCTGTGCAAACACGGTCCTGTACCTTTTCAGCTAAAGATCATTTAAGATCCATTGTAGGCCATTATTCTCTTTCATACAGAAGTTACTGACAATGGCATACATTCGTTACAAAAATTACATGACAGTGGTACGCACTGGTTACAAAGATTATTTATTGTTAAAGTTCCTTACAGTAAAAAGAGGAAATTATAATATAAGTGCAAATATGGTTGAGTGTTCAAGAGTATTTCCCCAAATAAATGGACAAAATCTCTGGATTGAGAAAGGATCAGACACTATTATCCTTCTTGTACTAAATACAACCTGGAAGCACAAGGGATTCTATTAATGCCACTGGGACCATCTGTGGAATAAGTATTTGTTTAGGATATAACCTGCATAAATCTATAGATCTAATCCTAAAAATGTCCTCACCATCTCCAACAACCAGTGCATGTATAGCTGTTCTCTCTTTTTCTATTCCTCTCCATGGAGCAAATTACTAATATGTACAATATTATCTCAAATAAAAGTTATTTTGTCACATCTGTTTGAGAGCCATTGAACACAAATATTAGTCATTAATACAATGTTTTACTTGTGCATCTTTTAAAGCTGTTTTGTAGCTGCTCGTACATACTGTTGTCCTAGCATGAGACTGGCGAGAAGCAGTTTTTCCTTATGAGGCAGATGCTGCTTCATCTGCACCTGCTCAGATGACCCCCCCTGTATTTTTCCAGCTATGAATATCATGAATAATGTTTCTGCCATTACCAGACCTCACATTGGAAATCTCTCCTGATTTTCAAACTCCTCCACATGTTTTATTTTTAGCTGACAGGAATTTAAACTCTGCACTGGCACCTTTCCACTAAGCCTACATGCCTTGGTTTTCTTCAGTGAACAGCAATTGTAGCAAATATTTCAGAGCTTGTATGTTACATGCCTTTTTTTATTTGTTGTTTTTTATGCTTGTTTGTTTTTTTTCCTTGCATAAGCTCTGCCTGGCTCTCTGTAGTTCAGTAGCACTTACCTAAAATCTTACTAAAAAAAAAAAAGGGAAAAATAAAATAAACATGTTGCATGATTTTCTTTATCCTGATGCCAGCTTTTAGCTGTGGAAATGTATCAGTTGATTACATAATGTAATTTCTGTAAAATAAGTACCTGATAAAAGAGAGGTGAATAAGAAAGGTTGCTTTTTCCAGACAGACCACTTTGAACATATCTGATGACCCTCAGATCCAAAATTACTGATGGGTAGTGTTATAAGTAAAACTAAAGAAATATTCTGAGTCAGCTTTATATTCATTATGGAATGTTTAGAAAAAAATACAGTGGAAATTAATTTTGAAGTCTGACTTGAGTCTCGCAGAATGATTCAGGATCATTTTCAGAAGTGGATTAACATTAAAACATTTTATTATCTTATTATCTAATGTTATACATAAAGTTTTATAACCATCAGCTTAGCATTTTAAAGATTCTTAATATTGTTATAATAAAACTGACTACTGCAGATAATTTTATATTCCATAATAAAAAAAATAAATCTGTGCTGGTAAATCAGTCATCCTTTAAACCTTAATAAAAGGAAAAATGCCTGTATTTGGATAGCATTTTGTTCTAAGTACAGTAATATATAATGTGGTCGACTGCAGTATTTACATTGAATATTGATTTTAACTTGAAGCGATTTCTTCTCTTGTATCTTATTTGCTAAATTAACTATTGGTTTATACATTTTCCAATAGCTCCATTAAAAACTAAAATGGCAGCAAATACTTGCTGATGTTGTAATAGGTCTTTATTTTTACACTGATAGGAAAAGACATTTGTTTTAGTTTTATCATCCTAAGAACAATAAATAGATGATTCTGCAAGCGCTTCCGACAATTGTATTAGAAATCTAGGGTCTACTTTTTCACACAAGTAAATTTATATAATGAAGCATTATACAAATATGCATGTTTAACTTTGGTTAATGAATATATTCAACTGCAACAGCAAACGTCTTAACTTTGGAAACAGTTTAAAGCTTATGGATGATGGAATATTTACAATATCCATTTATGGCTTCTAGTCCTCCTTTTGTACTTGCAGAACCCATATCAGTATCCATAAGGGAGTCTAGATATCCAAAGCAGCACAGTTTCGGGCACCTAAATCGCCACAAGATTTTCAAATGGGAGTCTCCATCCCCTCACCTCATGACATGCCTGGTGTGATTTTTCAAAAGATTTCAACATTCAAGACTTTCCAGAAAAAAAAATCTTGATCTTTTATTTTTCATGCTTAAATGTGGGATGATCTCCTTTTTAAAAATCCACAGTTGTTTTTGGTTGTTGAGATTTAGGAAAATAAAACAACAAACCAAAGAGTAACTAATCCCCCACACTTCTATGTGAAGTGTACATGCCTGCAAGCTGTTTAAAGTGAGGTCCCCAGTCTGTAAGGTAGTCATAACTCTGATCCATGTCTGATGTGTTTGAACCTAAAGAGCTTTTTTTGAAGAGCCAGTCCCCTCAAACACATAGGTCTGAAGTGAGTCATATGGAGGAGCGCTAGTATCTGTATTCGCTTCTTCAAGCTTTTCTGAAATGAATTGCCTGAAGATTGCACTATCAGGGCCAACTTGCAGAGACTGTCTGTAGAGGCTGTGGATTTCTGTGGTGACCTTCTGCCGAGGTTTGTGCATTCGCATGACAGTGCGGGTCCTCAATGCTGAAATATCAAAGGCTTCTGTGTCCTCCTCGCCACCTCCTTCATCGTCATACCTGACAATGTTCTCTCTGAATTCTTCCATTTTCTCCGAAAAGGGAGACTTCTTCCTCTGCTGCCTTATGGCTACAATTGCCAAAAAGAACACTGACAAAAAAAAAAAAAAAAAAAAAAAAAAAAAAAAAAAAAGGAAAAAAAAAAAAAAGGGAAAAAATAAACAGAACCAGAAACTTTGAATGTGCTTGGAAAGACTTAAAAAACCGGTACTGTTTCTTAATATTAATGCTATTGCAAAGTGAAGCTATCTTAGTAAATTTATAGAGCTGTAATTTTTACGGATTTTATAGTTTTGAGATGAGCACAGTATGTGGTGGGAAAATGGCTACAAAGGGACTTATAAAATAGGTGAATGAAATGGAGCAGTTCTTTTGGTAGGTGGGAGTTTGAAACTGACGGAAACACAGGTCATGCTTTTGGAAACTGCTTTGGTTTATCACATAATATATCAATTTCACATTCAGAATTTAAATTCTTAATGTCTCACTCTCTCTCAGATCAAAGCCCCAGGAAGATCAAATTAAAAATGAGGCAATGAGCAAGACATCCTCCTCAGTTGGCTGAATCATTCAGTTCCATAGACTATGCAGGATGTGGTTCAATTATTTCTGTTATGCTGGTTTGGAAATTTGAAGACTATCACTAAATTTTGTGTGATGTTGTAGCAGTACTTATTACCAAGGCCTATGAATCAGAGCAGCTTTTTTCCCTCGTATATGAAAGCTTTTTTAAATTTTATTTTAAAGCACTGTTTTTTAATCTTCTCTCATTTCATTTTTAGTGGAATGGTGCCTTTGAAATAGTCTATGACTTTCACAGAGATTAATGATTTCAGTTTTTAACTAAATCTTATTGTAGTTCTATTTAATGAGTAAGTAGGTTGTGGTCTGTAATTTTTTACTCAGGACATAACATGATATAACTACCAATAATGACAGGATTTTACCTCACATAGGGATATGAGGGACCTGAAGTAGTTCTTTATTTCTACATATTTACTGTATACTATTTCGTTTGATTGGGAGATACCAACACCAAACTTGAAAGCATTGGAAACAAGACTTTCTACAATGTTATTATATATTTACAAAACCCAGATAGTTTCAACTCTCCAAACCCTTTGCATGGTGAGCTCTTCTAATGGTACACATGATGATACAGGAAAATGGAAAAAAATGAAACTTCAGGTTTCAGATATAAGTGGCAAACATATTATATATAGAACTTTTTATTATTTCGTTTTAAATAAACACAAAAATATATTCAAAGATTTAATGTATTTAAAATATGTGTGTCTGTAAAGAGTGTGGTAGATTAGTTTCTTTTTCTTTCTGATTAATATATTTATCTATATCCCTGCTTTGACTTTTGTGATATGCATAGGCTCAGTAAACAGCAAGGATTTTTTCCACCTGGAGGGAAGACCTTGATGAATAATTCCACTGACGGCCTGGATAATGCAGTGATATAGTTTGCCTGATCCTCAGTCCCTTAAGTGCGTAACACAAAGTTGGACCAGGTTCAAATATCCTGCAACAATCAAAGAAAACTTGAAACACACACTGGCCTTCCTGTAAGTTCACATTGACTGCCAGGTCTAAGACAGGGACTTCAATCAGGGGGGCTGCTTTCCAGTGCCACTACTGAAGATTGCCTGGGACAAGGAAAGCTCAGATTTAAATAAGGTGACTCTGGGAGTGCAGGCAAGTCTAGAAACCACAAATCCAATCTTATGTTCCTGTTTTCTCTGTTGGAAACCAGGAGATGGAAGTAGGGGAACTAGTGCATCCCTGGACTTTGCTATGGAGTCAAGAAAAGGCTAGTGTCTGGCCAAGACTACTCCCGTCTAGACATAATAATTATGAGGTACCCTTCCACTGTTTTCATTCTTGCCCTATCTATTCAATGTGTTCGTAGGGATAAATAAAAACACATGTATTTTTTTTGTGGGACATTCTGTTTCTGCAGTTTCCTGCATGTCACCTAATTTTGAGAGCCCAAAGCCATATGAAGGTACTGACTCATAATTAACAGGTACGCGTGCTGCTTCTGGGCAACTCATTTAACTGTGAGACTAAATTATAGGGTTCCATTTGAGGAGAAATTTCAATGAGTTCTCACCAAGAGATCCAGCCGGGAAACCAAAGGTACAACAGGAAATAATTAGAGCCAGTTTCTATTCCTTATGCTAAGGAAAATATGCCATAACCTTACTGACAGAATGCAGAATATGAGTGATTTTTAACTTGTTAAATTTCTTTTTTCATTGGTGTAATGTCAAAATAGTTCCATTAGCTTTATTGGACTTGTGTTTCATGTCTTCTGTTGCTACTGTGGCAGATCAAAATAGAGATGCAAACCTTCATTTTCAAGCCTCAGATTTCTTGTAGTTAATGATGATACGCTTAGTGTTGTATGCTGTTATTTATAGACAGGTAGATGTCATATTGTATAATGAGGGTAGAAAAAAGAATGTCCTTTACCTGGATATTCTTCATATGGCAAAAAAAAAGGGGTTACTTAAAATTGTTTTGTATTTCTTTCAGTGATATAAGAGTTTAAAAATATTACTATTGTATTTGTTCTCATTAACAAATACATTGAGAGAATAATTTTCAGTGAAAGTTTTTGTTTCTTAAGGCAGTGTAATTTCTGTTATTATTACTTCTTTCTTTCTGGACATTATATTTGCGTAGCTAGATATTATGCCGCTGTTTTCTTGTTTTGATTCTGATCATATTTTTCCTTTTTTTTTTAGAATTTTGTTCCAAACAATTTATGCTAGGTTTGCACAATTTGTAGTGATGGTTTGATATCACACTGCTTAATGAAATCCTGATTTTATCTTCATTTTCTTACTTTGGAGTTGTTTATTTGTAGTTTCATTAGTGGAAAAATGGTTTTACTAACATAACCCATCAATTGTTTTGTGGTATTTTTAGATACGACGTTTTATGAAATATACTGCTATATGGCATAGTATCGATATGTCATATTATTACACAGGCAACAGGGATTTGGAAGTCTTTCCCTGTTGCTTTGTTGGCATCAGCTTGAATTTGGTCTTGAGGCCCATGACCACCATCAGTGACCAAGCTCGAAGGTCAGTCATTTTGCCTTGGAAAACAAACCTACCGGGCTCTATCACTTCTCTTTCTTTCCTGGCCTCAGAAACTACTATTCCTTAACCTCACTAACTCAGACAAGTAGTTTCAGGATGGATATTTAGCCTTTGGGGAATGATTAGTACAGCGTGCCTGCTGTTATAATGTGTCAGTGTCATCAAATCACTCATCGAACACTACAGGAATATCCTTTTGCTGAAAAAAAGGAAATATATTTTAGCAGCTATAGCTGCATGCTTCACCAGGTGAAGAAGTTGTTTCCTTGAATGCTGTCACTCCACTATGTCTTGCAGCAGCCATAACCTCATGCAGTGCAGGAACAGCCAGCCTTGGGTGGTTGGTCTGGTTTTGAGTGCTATGTGCCAGCTATGCATGACCCTGTGCAGAGGTACAAGCGCAACTCTTGTGCATTTAAAACACTCTCAAACCCACTTTTCACATCCACAAGCTCCCAAATGTAATGGAGATTAATTTGGTGTCCCATGAGAGGAAAAAGGAGATGCCCAACATTTGGAGAAAAGGCTGTCTGGAGATGCAACCTTATTAATTGACAGAGAAACTTCCTGTTTGTTTCTGGAGTTGCTTTCTGAGAGTATTGAATTCTTTTCTTCTTTTCTTATTTTGTATTGATCTTAGCTCTACATTTGGCATACCTAAGGCAGAATAAGTAGGGTACTGCTCCTTCTAATATATTCTTATACTAGCCAATTTCCTTGTGTAATGCTGTCTTCAGCTTTACCTGGGCTCAATACAGACTTTGGACCAATACAGACAAGTAGGACCATGACTCAACTAAACCTGACTTGTAGGACATTGTGTTAGAATTCAAATTTTATTGGAAACGGGGCGGGGGGAGGAATTATAGTTAAGAAAACAGAAAAGAAATTAAACATTTGCCTTATTGCATTTTTCTCAATAGCACAGTACTTCCAGGCTTCCAGTCAAGGGAACATCTTTGTCACTTAATCAAGCTTACTGTAAGAAGAAACAAAGTCATTTCTTTTACTCATGCTTACCTAGGAGTATTAGTATGCAAGCCAAAACAGCAACTAAAGCTTCTGTGCTGAGACCCATGGCATACATGACAGCTCCGTATCGACAGTAGAAGGTGTTAACTTCAGTGTCACAGTCACAGACAGTGATAGTGAGAGTATTTGTGCTCGTCAGCGGTGGGGTTCCATTATCCAGAATTAAGATTGGCAAGTAGAAAGAAAACTGCTCTTGCCTCCTGAAGCCACTTTTTGCTGTGAAAATTCCAGCTGTGTTATCTAGAAGATAAATTATTATGCATGATATGCATTTATCACTTTTTAACAACAACAGTAAAACTCCAGTGGAATCTGACCTATTTAAAAACAATGGTACTGTGCAAAGCCACATATTAACAAAGTTAAAAAAGTAAAACCAGGAACTGACATGGTGGGTTTTTTGTGTCAGTCATGAATAATTGCATCTATTTTTGACGTATGTATTCCAGGGACAATAATAACATTTGACCTAGGAGCTCTGTTTTTAATGTTCAGAGCTAAAAAAAATCCCACTGTGATCAGTGCTCAGACTAATTGGTTCTTAAAATGATTCCATGTAACTAGCTGCTACCAATCCAGCAGTTCACAGATGAAATATATATAGTTTACCAATTAAAAAAGTGTGTCTAGCAGCACACAGAGAAAACAGGTAGCAAGAGAAAGAAGAGAAAGCAGGAAAAATGTCCACTAAAATAGTTTTTTATTTCGTTCCCTGACTCAAAAACCGGAGCTAGCTGAGCTCCTACTGTCTAAATCAGGGAAAACTTGCTAGAGGCTCTCCACTTGCTTTGTATTTTACTATTAGTATTTAGAAATCAGTTCCGTACAAAACCCAGTAAGCAGCTTAAGTTCAGCTCCTGCTGCATATCAACTAATTCAAATCTGAAACTTAGCTTGCTGCAAAACAAATTAGCCCTGTCTAAATCTGTATATGATGGAAAGAAGAAACATCTATAAATGTTTACACGTCAGAACTTTTTATCCTGGCAGGGTGAGTTACTGGATGTGTGCATACCTGTACGTAGAGAAAAAAAAAAAGTGTTTCTACCATTATCTGTATGATACATCTATCCAAAAACTCTACTAAAGTTAACTCCCTCACATCTAAGTTATTCTAGGTTTCTGTCATAATTCAGAAGATAACTCTGAGATAAAATGCTCCAGATCTGTAGGCTCACTTTTGCTTTTGCCTAGGACTATCCGAAGTCATCCAGCCATTTCTATGAAATGCAGCCGAAAGGGAGAGATTAAGGGCTGACCCTACCATGTTATAAAAGGTGGGTTGTTTTTTTTCCCCATCAATAGCCATCAAAAGAAACTGGATGTATTGCCTTCTGTGTGGCTCTGCTTGGACTTTGTCCAGAATGAGCAAAGGTGGGAAAGGCTCGCAGCGTGTACACAATTTGACCTTAATGTAACAAGTTATCTCTTCCTGGCACTGAGAGGTTAATGAAGCTGGGAATTGAAACACATATTAATACACTAACTTTAACTTTGGAGATATTGAGAAAAGTAGTTTGCCGTTTAACATAGTCTGAACTTTCCAAATCTTATTTCCATTTATTTATTCACCGAGCCAGAACATTCAAATAATTAGCAAAGTCAATAAGGGCAATGTGTACTTCAGCTGAGTCTGAAGAAGCTCTTCTTTGTAGTCTCAGCAGGTTGACTCTAAGCAGTCACCCTCCCTGCAATTCCTTCAGATATTGCACTTATGTTTTCACCTCAGGCTGGTTTTGCTTGGTATCCCTCTGTATCACTCTTTGTAAGAGTCTCAATCAATATCAGTTCTGAATAACATTAAAATACATATAGAAGACATTTTATGATGTGATTATTAATCAGCTTATGCAGTTTAAAATATATTAGGAAATAAGATTATATTTGTATTTATCAGTGTTTATAATTTTGGTCTTGTTGAAGTGATGAAGTAACAGACTTGTATTAACAGCAATCTTCTCTTTCTGGCAATCTTGTTTCTTAGACAAACAGATAATTTTAACAAGAAAGTTGGTATTTCCCACCATCACCATATCCTACATTAAGAAAATAAATTTTAAGGAATACCAGTGTATTTTTCATCTCAACATTTTGTCTTTCCTTGAAATAAAACTGTCTTTTGCTATTTATGTTACTTGGCCGAAAAAGGAAAATAAACTGTTTAGTATTGCTGAATTATTGTTTTGAAATGCACCTCATGACATGTTCATATCTTATAACAACAATTTCTATTTAAGTGGAAAATTTTATAAAGTTGGTGATGTGAGGACCACTAGAAGTATGCATCTTTTATTAGGAAGGTCTTAAAGAGCTACATGAATGACACCACCTTGATTATCTTTGACAATAAAACGTGAGTTGTTTGTGGCCTCCTGAGCCAATGAGAAGTAAAAATGGTGACCTTCTGCTGAGTCATCTTGATCCACTGCACTGATGCTTTGAATTAGCTGGAAACACAGATAAATGGAATTGTTTAAGAATAAAAGTATTTACCTGTCCTTTAAAACAATAAAAAGACATATCAAGTATGTTAAACTGTTGATGTTAAAGATGTGATCTGTGAATACGTATTGAGTGCATGCTATGCAGTCATAAATATACACCTCCCATACTCAGTCTCATTGAAACTCTTATTCTGCAAATACTCTGCTTTGATTTTTCATCTGTTTGAGAGAGGCAGGCATTAAAATCTTGAGAAAATGTAAAAGATTTTCTGGATCAAAAGACAAGGGGTAAATGAAGTCTCCATAAATGAAAAAAGTAATCATATCTACAGTGTTTTGTCTTTTTTTTTTCAAGGTGAAAAGTATATCATTCCACATTTGAACAAATCCCTCTATACAAAACCCATTTCCTTCCAGCCCATAAACACATTGACATCATTCAACTGATATATTGTAGCTCCAGTAAAGTGAGATATGGTGACAAGTTCATGTGCTGAATTGTTGATTCTGGATATTATAACAGATTGATTATGGAACTTCTTGGCTCCTTTTTCTCAAGAAAGCAGAATAGCCTTCATTTACAAATATGTCAAACCAGATAGTCATTGCAAGATAAAATAAAAAATAAGTTATCATTCAAAAGAATATCTTTTATCTCTGTAAATAAACAAACACACTACAGTTAATATAATTAGCAATATTTCTCGTAAAAAGAGCTTACATTTGTTACTTTTATCAGTAAATATTTAATGGCCTGGGCATCAGTATATATTAGTAAGTGAGTATCCTCACCGACCAGGAGGAAAGCAAACTGATGCAAGCCCACCGACTTTCAGAAAAGTGTCTGATTTGAAGTTGGTCTCTATTTTATCAGTCATCTCATGCCTTGTAGATATTTGTACCCAGGAGACTTGAAGCCTCAACTTTCCCCAAACCACAAAGCATCTGAATGCTACAAGCGGTAGTTTTAAAAGCAAAGCAGTAAGCCAATGGAAGTGACTACAGCCTTCCATCTGTGCCTTTGAAAACTTTTTCCTGATTAAACCATTTTTCAGTCAAAGATCTAAGACCTCAGCACACATTCTTTTTCTTTTCAAGCAAGGTAAGTTTGATGAAATCATCACAGCAAAGTGCAAAATGTGGCTCATACCCCTGAAGCTTTGTGTTCTTAGCACTCTGCCCTTTTTATATGTGAAATTTATTTCAAATCTATATTTTCACTCTATGGAAAAATTAGGACCCTTGAGATTTTTTTATTGCCACTAATGAGAGAAGTGATTGTTCAGTGATATACCTGGTGACAGTGTACAAACGATGAAGCTTCTTGAGGAATTTTTTTCCCTTTCCTCAGAGCAAACAAAATAGCTAAGGTGATGGAAATACAGGTGTAGGCATGCAGGCCAAGGAATCAGTGAAGAGCAATAACTGATCCCTAATATTACCTGATAATAAATCATAGACTTCATTTTTATAAGGGAGTATAGTTCTCAGAATATGTTCAATATGAATGGCAATAGAGAACAAAACTATATATCCAGTCTAAAACATGAACAATGGCACATTTTCATGATAATATTCTGCCACATACCTGAAAAAATGAAAAATTACTACTGGCCTTTGCTACTGATTTGCTAGTAAAATCTCCATGACCGCAGCTGAGAAAAAGCTGTGTATGGATGTATGTCTCTCTGTACAATTCAGGGTCTATCAAGCTAGACTGAATATGCAGAGTAATATAGTAATCCACAAAGACATCTTAACCATATCCAATCTTTTTATTTTTTTTTATTTTTCAGTTTAGTTACTTGGCAGAGAAGAATTACCTACCTACCTACCCACCAAAAAAAAAAAAAAGCATTAATTATAGATGTGATTTTTATACTTCCAGTTTTCATTCTGATTAATAGTTATTTAACCAGCTATTAGCAATGTCTTTGGAAAGTTTATTTGTGGGAGTCTCTCATGTTTGAAAACCATAAAATTATTGCAGTTGCGAATTAGGTACTGTTTTGCTATTTCATTATTAACTTCCATTATTTTACATACAAAATGTATTTGCCCATGTAAATTTTATTTATATCTGATCCTATCAATATAATTCTGAGGAGTATGTGTCTAGCTGAAAAAACCCCACCTTCCCTTGTTTTGATCTGTACTGTGCTCTTCTAACAAACCTAAGACTCCTATGGTTATTCTAGGCATGTTCACATGCCTTCAAAGATTCACCCTAGAAGCAGGGGAATATATGGAACATAAGGAAAGGGCAGGCCTTTATTGTTTATTTCTTACTGTATCACTTCCACTAAGATTCAGCAAAACTCAGATGAGTCTATAAAATATTCAGAGAGCAATAGGCAGCTCTGATTTTCCTAACTCTGAAGGAAAAATTACCCAGAGAGAAGGAAACTGTTTCTTTTTTTCTGGTTTCCTAGACTTTTGTACATCTAACCTAGGAGATTCTAGCCTTTTGCCAAGGAAACTGGCATCATAGACTGAAAAACTGCATTTATTCTTTGTGAGTCAAGGTTTTAAAAAACCCTACATTTTAGTGTGTAAACAAAGAAAATAAAGTGAATGATGTGTTGCTTCTGCAAATTTATAACTCTTGTTGTATTGACTAGGCTGAAATTTAATTGCTGTAAAATTTCTTATTTCAAGTCTCATTAGTCTAGAAGCTTTAATAATCCAGCAGTCCATTTGAAAATGTGCATTTCTTTAAAAATGAGATTAATTTACTCAATTTTTCTTGAAGAACTGATTTAAGTTCATGGTGGGTGGGCCTCATTTACTGTTTCTTTCCAAACAGACTGAGATCACTGCTGGGAACAGCAGGGGCTCCTTTGATCAAAGGTCACAAAAAGATGTCTTCTATACTCAACTTCTCCATCCATCTGATTACTGGGCACTTTCAACTAATAAATATCATCAGTGGGGGAGTCTAAGATATTGGTAACAGCTCTGATCTCATATTGATTAATTATTTTGTATAGAAGGGAATTTCTGTAAATCATTCTGGACTGAATGTCTAGCTGAGTATTATTTGTCTTGCAAATAACAAGTTACGGAGTATGGAGTAGCTGACTGCCTGGTAGTCTTGATGAAAATTCATTGAAAATTTATTTCCTCAACACCAAGCAGTCTCACTGAATTGAAGTTATGGAGATGTCCAGAAGGAAGAAGAAAGCTTCTCTGTTACAGTCCTTTCTGCTTCTAAGGGCATTCTTTCTACGAAGTTCAGCTTAAGGCATAGACTGTCCAACTGAACAACCATCAGTGCTATTAATTTTGATGCTAGAGTACCCTGAGCATATAATTTGGAGTTCTTTTTTGCATGCTCCCATACCCAACTATAGTCTTACCATTCCCATTAGACAGATGGAAAGAAGTAGGAATAGATTTCCCACTTTTCTCTTTCTGCTTTAGTTTCTTTTGGTTTGTTTTCCATCCAACATCCTTCAATAGGAGCTCTGCTGTGTTTTATAGGATATAAGAAATCTGATCACCCACCTGTTTTGGGAATACAGAACTGGTTTTGTTCAAATTGGCAGAGGTCTTACAAGTAGTAGGATTTTTCTCATTGCTTAATAATATTTGATGATATCAGAGTTTTGTGCAGGTAAAAGAATAAAGTGTTCATTAATATAGTCAACACCTGTATTTTCCAGGTAGACCTTCTACCTCAAGACCAAAGTTCTCCTTTTGACTGCTTCTATTTCTTTTTTGGAAAGCAAATTGGCACAATATTGATCTGATTTCTCTGGGTCTACTGTAAGATGTTTCTGCTCATCTGTAAATAAAATGGTGTATGTCTCAGCAAAGGAATAACAATTTTAAAGCTCATGCCGTAACACTTAGGTGCCTTTTTATGTTTGTTTGTATATGCTGATAATCTCTTCCTACCTGTTCCATTCTGCTATGAGATAATGTTGTTGAATCATCATCCGTATAAAACAGAAAAAGAGATTTTCCATGGGCCACTGTGCCCACTGTTTCAAAATGTCACTCAGTGCATCTGCAGGTATAGCTTAGAGTAAAGGCCTGCTAGAATATATGGTGCTTTCACAGCTTCACCATGTTTTTTATACTCTAAGGGATGCCCTCATTGCTTTTTTTCTTTTTAACTTTTTATTTTCTTACCACTACTGCTCAGTTGTTTTTTATAAATGATGAAGAGAACATAGCAAGGTGAACTAATAAACTTCGGCTTACTAATCCATCACTTTCACTTCTCTGCTATCAAAAATCATTTTACATCATGATTTATTAGAAAGGATCTGTTTTAGCAAACTGCTCATTGTTAACATTAATTGTATACCCCTAGAATTTGGTTAAAGATTTCCCCTCTTTTCTTCTGTCAACATTTCATTATGTAGAGAAGTAATATCAAATGAGTATTCTTCAGTTTCACTGAAACTGATGATTATTTTATTATATACTAAGTACTGACTAAATAATTTTTTTTTTTTTTCCTTATTCTAACTCAAAGTGTTCTGCATACATAGTCACTTCTTTGGATCTAATAAAAATCACTGAGCAAGCTGCAACATCAAAGTCATTTAATACGTGATCCCCAAATTACAGGAACTCAGAATTGCCAAAATAAATATGCATTAGAGAAGACAGCATTAATTCAGAATGTAGATTTATCCAATGCAGCTTGTCTTCAGCTGAAATCTGTTTCCTGCATGATATGAAGAAAGACCAGTATCCACAAAAAGGACTGAAATTACCATGCATAAAAATAGATGCATTCTGGATGATCAGCTTGCTTACATATCATGTAAGGCATTTGATATAGCTTACTTCAAACTTTCAAGCTTCAATTTCAGGCTAAGTTAATTCATTAATGCTTTGGGAATTAAGCTTTCTGGACAAATCCATTCTTGCTGGGATGCCTCTAGTGTTACCTTTGGGACAGATTTGGTCCATTTTGTGTCCTGATTATTTTTATAGAATATTGCTTCTAGAATTCAACAGTTTGTAGTTACTGTACACACACATAA